GAAGAAGGTACGGAGACATGCTTGGAGGCCATACCATTTCATAATCACAGAGGCCCATAAAATGTGCACAGGATGTTCTTATAGGCTCATGGGAAATGCAGCTCAGGCCAAAGTAGTTTTTTTCTGGGGATCTCTTTATCATTCTTTCCTTTTCCTCCAGGTTTTGAGCCATGGGCGTAAAAGCAAGCTGTCAGGCTGCCAGCAGTGTCTTTCTGTTGCCAGCAGCATTCTCCTCTCTCTCTTTGTGTCCCCTGTCATCACAGCCGTCACTGTTGGTAAGAGCCACAACGAGACCGAGATGGGAGGGGGTGTGTGGATCCACAAGATGCTTTTTTGCTTTCGTACTGAAAGGGAAATCTTCTGCCCTTCGTGAATTGCATGGCTGCATGAACGGTCCTTGAACAGAGGTGGTTCTTATAACAGGCTCTTTGCCTGCAGGGGTGGGCGTGCCCCTGATGCTCACCTACGTGTATGGGGTCGTGGTACTCTCTCTGTGCCGGAATCGCTGGGGGTGTGGAAGCTCCCGAAAGAAAGCTGGGGAGCTGAGCACAGTGGAACTGGAGAACCTCGCCAAATGTACGTGAGTTGTTGTGAGTTGTGCTGAAGTCAGAGAGGCAAAGAAGTTTAGTTCCGGGGACACATCACAAGTTGCTCTCATTTAATATATTCTTGCTTTGCCCTTTAAGCCTCCTTCCATAAGATAACTTATTCTAATTTTGCCTTTAGAAAGTTGATGTCTCACTTTAAAGTGGGACAGAAGAGTCTACAATGACAGATACAGCAGTCCATTATTTCTGAACCTGCATGGCTTGCGATTACATTTAAGTTCCAGTAGTATTACATTGGAACAATACCTTAGTTTTGCAGCCATTCTGGTAATGGAACATCCCGTTTAGTTTTGTTTATGGAAGAACAGTGTCATGTCAGTTTGATGAGTTATGTTACAGCTTCCTATCTGGGCTTCAGGTAGTCTGTTCCTGCAAAATTAATTATCAATGAATGTAAAGCCACCAAGCTCTCAATTCTTTGACAATATTTGCCTATGTTTTTTATATAGCTGGTACTTTTCGGTACTATTTTAGAAATGCCGTACCGTTATAATTCCCATTGAGTTGCAGTTCTTGTCTGTTTCCAGTCTTGACAGCTCTCCCAACAAACATGCATAGAAAACTTTGCCAATAATTTGGAGATGCACTAACACTCTGCAAAGAAGGCTTTGGGTAAAAACTAGTTTAACTGATCCATTTGATTATACAGTAAGGATTCTTCAAATGCCATTTTTTTCTAATTGGCCCAGAAAACTCAGAAATGATTCTCCTTTTAATTGTTTTAAATCAAGAAATGTCTCAGGAACTCCCCTAACTTTTGGATAGCTCCTTTTGTATAACAGCTAGTAGATACTGGTATCTCATATTGTCTACAATTGCTAAAAAATATGAGTAGTAAAAAGATGGGAAATACGACTGAGCAGCTTCTAAAACTGACATTTAATATGCAGAATTTATGAGCTTTTTAGAAACTGTGTGAGAATAAACCCTTTTGTTCCTCTTTTTTGTTTTAGTACCATTTGAAAATTTTGCTCAATTTCCGTACTTGGCAGACAGTTTTATTCTATTAGGTTTCATGCGATCAACATTTCCATTAAGGAAACCTTGCAGAGGTTATCTAGATATGTGAAGAAATTTCGTGATGCCAAGAAAGGGGATGCTGCCATGTTTATCTTTTCTTTCTTCGTAACAGTGAACGAACTGCTGGCTGTGCTGCCTACCCCCATGGTGCCTGAGAAGGGGGCTTCTGTTTCCATCCCCCATTCAAGTAACAGCCAACATGAACCATGTCAAAAAGATCGGAACAGTGAATCTGCCAGCACTGTAGCCTTGGCAGGCAGCATGCTGAGTGAAGCTCAAGAAACTTCTCACAGGTCAGTATGGTGGACTTGGAAGGGTTGGAGGAAGTCCCAAGCAAAGCTACTCCCTATAAGTAATCTCTGGATGGGATGGGATGGAAGAGTAGGGAAGGAAGACCTATTGAACAAATAGTGTTGGCCTCAGGTCTGCTTTATTGGGCTGTTGCAAGTCCAGTTTGGGAGAGGTTCCATCTCACTGCTACCTCCAGTTTCTCACTCATGGCAGACATCCTCATTCTGTTTTCGATTATGCGAAAAATACAGTAGCGCAGAGGGAAGAAACACAAAAACATACTCTTCTTCCCAGTTTGCTTTATAGTGCAATATTGTGAATTATAGCTTTCTACCCTGTTTTTCTGAGCCGTATTCCACCCAGTTCACAAGTAGCACTGTTCTTCTCCTGTGCAGGGATGGCCTGAATATGGTGGAAGTGGAAGTGGAGATTGAAACTCAGCCACAGGCTGCTGGTGAGCACAGTCTATGTAGTGCTGCATCAGGCCACAGCTTTTCAGCAGATTCTCTCGCCTACACAAGTGATGGCTGCAGTTTGGCAGGAGTGATGACAGAGTAAAGCAACTGAACGCACAGAAGCAACCACGGACTGAAGATCCAAGCTCTCCTAGCTTGAAAGCCTGTCTGCAGCCCATGCAAGATTCATCACTGCTCACTTGTTCCCCAAACACTTGGCATCTTTTAGCCCCCACTTGATTAAGACCTCTGGTGCTTCAGGATAATAAATAGCAGCTATCCCAGGAGTCTAATGGATCCTCCCTTTATAATATGTAGGGATGGAATCCCATGCGTTACCTACTTAGGTGGTGGGAAGTCTTGTCAGATGGGGCTAAACTGCTGAACAATCTCTGAGAGACTAACTGTAGGCCAGATTCCCATTAAAGGAGGCTTGGGAAACCTGTCATCTTCCAGATGTTGAATTACAACTTCAAGCATCACTCATAATTGGCCATATTGATTGGATCTCCTGAATCGTAGATTTCCTACCTCTGATTAAATGATTTTAAGTAACTACTTTGAGCAGAGTACTTGTGGAAGTGAAAGCGCTGATCTAAATAGGCCAGAATTTCAGTTCTGATAAGATAACTACATATGTTAACCTTCTGGATAAAGATCGAGGCTTGGACTGGAAAATCCTCAAGTAAAAGTTTGTATTGGTAGGAAGAAAAAGGGGGCACGTGAAGCCAGGTTAGAACTTCTGAGAGATTCTGGACTACATTGTGGATTGCTTTATAACAAGTCCCATAGGAGACTTGCTGTGAAAACAAAGCCATGAGATGTTGAAGCCATTATTATAGAATAAGCTCCTATGAAATTCCTGAAACCTTAAACATGCTAGTTTTATCTGAGTGATCGCTTAAGGAATTACTCAGAAATCTAATGGAATAGCTATAATTCCATATAAAGTAGCAAGTAATTAAAGTTACTTAAATTTTCACCTCAATGTTGAAACCGAGAAGGAATTTCACAATGTCCCGTAGTATTATGATCCTATATTCCATAGGAATGAGGCAAAATAGGTTGAAAATCAACTTTGGGTTAGCCTTATACAAATCAATGGTGTAGGAACAATAGATGCAACAAAATTGGAAAAGGCTGTTATAAAAAAGCACGTTGGAAAAAAGAGCAAACAACTTGCAATGGGCTGGTGGACCGCATTGCTACCTGCTGCAAGAAGTATTCCAGTGACATCCACAATTTTGGCTCATTTGGGGAAGGCTTAAATAAGTGTGCCCAACTTGTTTTTAGGTTTGGGGAGTTTTAAGAGTGGTAATGGAAGACAGAGCTTTATCTCTCAAAGGCTTCCAATTCCCACTTTTTTTTCAAGTTCAAATTGAAATTTATGACTGTAAAATAAGGATGCTATATTTCATGGCCTACAGCAGCGATGGCGAACCTTTTAGAGACCGAGTGCCCAAACTGCAACCCCAAACCCACTTATTTATCGCCGGGTGCCAGGTGGGCGTGGCCCGCTGGGTGGGCGTGGCTGTGGTGGTCATGGCAGATTGGATGGGTGTGGCAAAGGTGGGCGTGATCACCTCAATGTTGCTCATGGGGAGGGACACCTGTGGGGGCCAGGCAGGGTTGGGGGAGATCCAGGGGGTCTCTGGCAGGTGGGGCGGTGGGCAGGAGGCTCGTCCTGCTGGGTGAGGTGAGGCAAGGCGAGGCAGGGCGGGGGTGCCATTGTCACAGGGAAAGGTGAGGCAGGGGCTGGGGTGGCTGCCACCTGACACCATCGGCCCCTGCACACAGAGGCCAGCGAGCGCATGGGTGCTGGGATGCATCCGGCCATGTGGGACTTCGGCGAGTTAGCGGGTGGCTGGTTGAAGAGGGACAGTTGCCCTCTCTGGGGCATGGCACATGTGCCCACAGAGAGGGCTCTGAGTGCCGCCTCTGGCACGCGTGCCATAGGTTCGCCACCACTGGCCTACAGAGTTGCATTTAAGTCTTAATAAAAACCATGTGGCTAAATTTAGGTTCCCCTATATTCAAAGAAAGGAACCCTACTTTTCTAACAAAAAAAGAAGCAAGAATTGGGGTTGTCTGTCTTTTGCAAGCTTCCTGGGGAAATCATAAGGGTTTAGATAAAAGTTTCCATGGACAAGACAAGGGGTTGTTGGTTCTAGTTTGCTTGGGCAGAAAAAGACCTGCAAGTCATAGGCATGGAACTCACAGTGGGAAAGGATTTGGAATTGGAAAGAAACTGGAATAAGCAAGAAAAGTAAGTGGATTACATAATGGTTCAGTTCATCTTACTTCCTCCCCTCACAATTTTACAAAAGTACACAGTCACTGATAAAAGAGTTTTAGTTTTTAGTTTGAAAAAAATCTCAGTTGAAAATGAATGACACAGAGTTGAGACTTGGCAGCCATGGGGTGGGGTGGGGTGGGGAGTATGGCAATCAGTCCCACAAATTAAAAACAAAAGTGGAGGCCTTAAATAGAAGTGCAGCTCTGAAAACTCCATATTGGAAAACTGCTTCCCGCCAACAGAAAAATCACAGGCATGGAAATGGCAACAACCATACAGAGATGCTGCAGTGGTCTGTGTGTGTATGTGTGTGTGTGTGAGAGAGAGAGAGAGAGACTGAGAGTGTTTGAGCAGGTAAGTCTGCCTTCTGGGCTTTGGCCAGATTATGACCCTCCCTGCCATTCACTCTTTGGAATGGTTTCAAAGTGGGACCCACCTGAATCCCTTCCCCCCCTTCAAATAATAAAGACAAAATGGGCCTCCCTAAGGATAAAAAAAGCCTAAAACAGGCATCAAAAGTTCAGCTTTGTTTAGAAAACAAGAGTCCAGTGAGAGCATGGGCAATTCCCTACCCAACTTGGCTGCTAGTCCTGTCGGGCCTTCTTGCTACAGCCCTCTTCTGTGGGGCTAGTTGTTGTGCTATCCTCCAGTTTCCGTTTGCTGCTCTCAGCAGGGGAGCCTTGACTGATTTGTGGTTTAAAAGAGATGATGATACAAGTCATGTTGTCACAGCCTGTTCCATCACCAGATGTGTCAGGAGCCAAACAACGATCCAGGAGCTGTTTAGACAAAAATTAGAGAATGAATTCAGCATGAAATTCATCTTCTGGAATACATTCATTAAACTGAAGGACAGAGAAATTCAGGCAATAGTCTGATGGTTTCAGATACCTGCTAGGGAGTCTGTTAATAAGCCTTCAGGAAGGAATCTTTGTGAAAACTGAACAAGATTTAATAGAAGTAGACTCTGAACCTAATGATTATCCTGTAACGTTTTTCAGTTCCTGAATATAATTTGTTATCAAAATAATGACTGTTCCCCCGGCTTAATCAATTGGGACCCAGTCAGTAAACTGAGTGCATGCCTGGTGCATTCCAAGATCTAGTCCTTCTCATATGTTTTCAATCAGATCCTGGCAATTTTACTGTATCAAATAGAACTCTTTATCTTATAGCCTGAAAAAAAATCTGCTAAACTTGAGAGTTGAATGTCTTTTTCTATATAATATAGAAATATTCCTATACTTAATTTCAACTGTCATGTCTCCCAGTCTCCAACTCACTTCTTCTACTATAGATGAAAGAGATCGCAACTCTCCATCTTCACCCTTCTGTGTTATCTTGGACTGAACAAAATCCACAACCTCTTGGCTACTCATGACATTCCTGGATTAGAAGGAAAAGACAGAGATCGTGAAAAACAAATGAAAGACTAGGTTACAATTATACCAACCTGTCCTCAGCTTTGCAGTATAGTCCCTTCCAAGTCTTGACTTGGTACAAGTTATCAGCACTCTCTACTCCTCAAGTACATTGAAAGAAATTAAATTTCAGCCAACTATCATAATAAGGATTCTTATTTATCCCAAAGCTCAATTTCCACCTACCAGATGCCATCACAGGCAATGACCATAAAATCATGGTCATCGTTGATTGTCAGCACCTTGATATCTGGCAGCGCTGAGATCATCTGTTCTTCTGGGGGCAAATTCTTGTTACGTTTGTAGAAATGATCTCCTAAGATACAAAAACATTCAAGAGATTTGAGAGTTCAGTGTCCTAGAGAAAAGTGCAGCAACAAGGAGAAAGCTGGGTTATGCTCACTAACTGAAAAAATCCCCCGTAAGTGGCAGAACATTCAAGGCATTTCTCAAACACAAAGACACCTTTGACATAACAGGGTTTTTTTAGTTAACTTCTGGTTTGTAACACATTCCATTTCTTCCAAATCAAGCAGCTGGGATTCACTTCCATGATAGATCAAGTCAAACTGGCTTAATAACAAATATTCATGAGGCAATTCTGGAATTTGAGCTTTATGCTCCCAAAAACAAAACAAAAAAATGAAGTAAATAAATCCTCCTGAAAATAACTCCCCCAAATGTGGATGGGCTGGCTAAAAGACCCATTTAATCTAGTCCCCAACCTTTATGGCTTGGTGGCCCACTGGGGGGGGGGGAACTGGCCTGTGCAAGTGGTGGGCCAGCGCATGTGTGCACTGACCCGCCTCTTGCGTGTGAACTGCGCGTATTGCCTATCGCTCACGCGAGATGAGCTACATGAGCGAATTCGCAGGCCTGCCGCTCATATGGCCCACATCCAAACCAGCCACGACTCAGTAGTGGCCCGTGGCTGGGGACCCTTGATCTAGAATACCATATCCACAACATTTAAGCCACTTTTTGTCAAAGGATTCACTGTTGGAAACAAATTCTTACTTCACTCTACATTCCACATTCACACATTATTTTATATTTTTTGGACCAAGTCACAGATGGCATCAACCATATGTACCATGTTTAAAGCCTATTCTTCTGAATGGGCATGTCCACAATTAAGCCAGCTTTAAAGTTTAGCACGGACCTAAGTTTTTAATTGTTGTTGCTGGAACATTCAATAAAGTTTTTAGTCCTTTGCTTTTGAGTTTTCAAAAGCTGGTTGCTGACAATTGTTAAAACGAGTCCATTAGTGCAAGGTTTGATTTGCAAATAAGTAGGCACTATAAAATAATCTCTATTTTTAGATTGTTCTATTTTCTTTATACTATGACATAACTCCTTTTCCTTTGTACTTAAGGCACTTCAATAGTTCCAGGTCAGATGACTGAAGAAATAGCTTCCTTTTTCAGAGAAAAAGAGGCTGCAGACTGAAAGATTGCATGTGTGATGTTTTGGTCATTTGAAGGCTGAGTGGGAGATTTGGTGTTCATTGTCAGTAGTGGCTACTGCCCTATACCTCTAGCACATGCATACCTGTTTACTCACCAATTGCTCTGGAGAGATTGAGGCCACCATTTACCCGACCATCCATGGTTACTTTTCCACCAGCATTCTTTATTCTGGCCAATTCCACTTCATCTTCAGGCTTATGATCATAGGACATATCCACAGCTTTGCCACCTTCAGACACTACACATCGGGAATCTCCAGCATTGGCTACTATTAGCTGCTTGCCTCTGATAAGTGCTACTACCGCTGTTGTGCCGCTGTCTGAGCCAGGCTGGAGAGTAAGAGAACTGTGAGGAGAGCCCATGCTGAAGCACAAGACTTACTGAAAGAGTGGGCCCCAAACCAGGACAAGAGCAAAAGAAGCTCAGCAAATCTCAGTAAGGACCACTGTGTCCCAATTCCTTCCCCACTTTCTTCACAAACACTGACCTTTTCTTTGCCCTCCATTCCTGGGAGCATCATGTCTTCATCATCTTCCTCTTCTGCTTCTTCAGTATCATATTCTTCTTCCTCACTGCTGTAGCTATCCTCATCCTCACTGCATTCCTAATCAAAATGTAATACATCCACCCATAACAGAAATAAAATTGACCCCATGGCTCTGGCTGCTGTCCTGCATGCAGGACCTGGGGTACCTTCTTCTTCTTAGCCTTCAACTGTAAAGAAGGCTAAGTTCTGCTTTTTCAGCTCATCTATGGAAGGACAAAGTGCCCCTCCCCCCACTGCCCAAATGATGATGGTACCTCACTATCGTCATCTTCTTCCTCTTCTGCATCCTCTGATTCATCCTCACTGTCCTCAAAGAACATTGACTTGATCACTTGCTGGCTCTTGCTTGCAGACGAGCAGGATGGCTCCATCTCACCACTGGTAGGAGATGCTCCCTCAGAGGTCTTTTTTTGGCAAGTATCAGCATCCCCTCCACCAGCCACATCTGGACCATGGGAGGTACTGATGGTCTCAGAGCACAATTTGCCATTTTTCTCCTCTTCTTCACCCTCCTTATGATGCCTCAAGGGCTCCTCAGCATCTACTTCACCATTCAAACTTGGCTCCCGGGCATCCTCCTGGGTTACATCTTTGCCTGGTGGGCCCAGCTTGCCCTTGACACAGTTTTGCCCGTATCGAGTCAGAAGCTCTTCAATAGTCATTGCAGCCTCCTCATGCAGCAAGGCAGTCTCCTCATTGTCCACTGCATGGGAGTATTGGGGGGAGAAAATGCAGCCAGTCTCAATGTCAACATCCATTTTTAAAATCATATCTTAGGCAAGTTTATTATGACTAAAGGAATATAGCAGGCATGTCAAACTACCGGCCCGCGGGCCAGATGCACCATACTGAAATCGTGCCCACCCCATTGATGGCAATGGAGAAAAAGTCGTGATACATCACGCAACGTCACATGATGGAACTAATCAAGGAGAGAAGCAACCTAGAACTAAGGAGAAACTTCCTGACAGTTAGAACAATTAACCAGTGGAACAACCTGCCTCCAGAAGCGGTGAATGCTCCAACACTGGAAGTTTTTAAGAAGAGACTGGGCAGCCATTTGTCTGAAATGGTATAGGGTTACCTGCCTGAGCAGGGGGTTGGACTTGATGACCTCCAAGGTCCCTTCCAACTTTATTATTATTATTATTATTATTATTATTATTATTATTATTATTATTATTATTATTATTATTATTATGTCGCATGTTTGACATGCCTGGAATATAGCTTTACACATATGACATCAATCTACATACCAAAAATATAGATGGAATTACATTCCTCACTACAAATTCTGGTCTTAAGGGCCTGACACTAGTTTTCCTAATCATATAAACTATTTTTACCAAGCTGCAACTGTTTGAGGTAAGTGCAAACACGATGGTCTCCAGATGCTGGATTACAATTCCCATTACCCCAATTACCAGCAATGCTGGCTTAGAACTTTTAATTCTCCACCTCTGATTTTGTCTGGGCTCTTTCGTAAAGTTGGCATAGTTACTGATTAGATCTCTGGTTTAAGTTGCTTATGTTAAATTTAACACAACATAGGAAATGTGATCTCAGACATTCTTGCACTTTAGGAATTTAATCTCAGTTATATACAAGGGTGATATAAGAGATCTCATTCTGGTTACTTGGATTTTGCCTCTGATCTGCACTGGACTGCACTGCAAATTGCTGTTCACTCACCATCATCTTCATCTGCTACTTTCATCTCTTTCTCATCACCCTCATCTCGAGACCGCCCTGACATCAGTGCTAATTCCTTGATCACTTCTTCTGTTGTAAGCTTGGCATCAATGGCCAAAAAAGCATCTTCAAGTGCCTAATAAGAAAAAAGGAAGATCTCTTTGTGATGGGTGTCCAGGGAGACCACCATTAATATTAGAAACTATTTAGATAACAACTTATCCAAGATGTATGATACAGCTCATAATAGCCCCAATAAACAAGCTAATACTATACTGCAGTATAATTAATATCAGTGGACAAAAAGATTTGTCACTTTTTCTTTCATTGTTATACAAAAAATAGCCAATTTCTAACCAGAATTTGCTTCACATTTATGCTAAACTCTAGTTTTTAACAAGCAATTTAGATATTTTACAATATAGTCAAAGAAAATATCTTAAAAGCATCAAATGGCAAAGACAGGGAAAAGACAGAATGGAATCATGAAACAAGATCCAGTCACAGAATTAGCTGTACTTCTTTGGCACACTGTTCTATAGTTTGGGGAAACAGCCTTTCTGTCTTACCTTTTGCAGTTTGCCTTCTTTATATGCTTTCTGATCCTTGATGATCTCTGGCAGGTATTTGGCACAATAGAGGGCTACTTCTTCTCCTACAGCAAAGAGGCCAACAGTTAGAAACTGACAGTCCCTTGTTTCATCCCACAAGTAACCACGTTTGTTTCAAAGAAAATATGCTTCGGCATCCCAAAGCTGAACAAATGGGGTAGCACGGAAATAACTCAAAAGACCCATTTATTAGGCACACGTGAGTTAGGATTGAGTTAGGACCCTAGCATTGACAAACCCATTATTCCACAAAATCCAGAGAAGTTAATCAGGCAGACCATCAAGACTTCCCACAAAGGCAATGTTGTAATAGTAACTGGTCACCCTAGTCCAGGGGTAGGCAACCTTGGCTCTTTTATGACTCGTGGACTTCAACTCCCAGAATTCCTGAGCCAGCACAGCTGGCTCAGGAATTCTGGGAGTTGAAGTCCACGAGTCATAAAAGAGCCAAGGTTGCCTACCCCTGCCCTAGTCAGTTTCAATGAGAAACAAGTGCCTGCATATATAAAAAGCACTGACAATGAACCTCCTCAAGCTGTGGGTACGTAAGGGCCTGCAAGATAGCCTTCTCAAAACGCCTGGCCCCAACAGATGTCCTTAAAACTAATAGACACCTCGTTATTGGGTGGCCCTTACCTCCATGACCATCGTAGACAGAGAACATTGCAGTCTCGCTGTCTAAATCGGGAATGCAGTTGTGAGCATCCTGAAAAAAAAAAGAAGGATCGGTGAAGGGGGAACAGCGACTACCGTGCGGCGGATCAAGCCCTTGGAAACTCTCCGCGATTTAAGAAAGGGCCCAAGAAAGAAGGCAGATATACAAGCGCAACGGTCCTCGCAACCTGCCGGTGCCTCCGGGGCGCCCAACTATCAACAGCTCCGCAAATGTAGGGACTCCATGACAGGGGCCCCACATGGAGCCTCCGGCCGTTAGTCCTGCGCATAATCAGGACGCTTTTCCCACCGAAAGCCGCCATAAGAAACGAGGCCGGGGCCTCCCGTAGGGCAGAATCACCCAGCAAGACACCGTTCTCCCGCCCTCAGTCCGTCCCGCCCTCACCTCCATGGAGACCCGCCAGCCCTGCATGGCGCTGTAGCCGAAGTGCAGCGGCCGAGGCCCAATTCCGACACCATCCCCAGAGCTCTTGGCCGTGCTGGGCTGCGACAGGTAGGCACCCATGGCAGGCAGGCCCGGGCCCCGCCGAGCCGAAGAAGGAAGAGCGGCAAAGACAGAAAGCGAACGACAGAAGGAAGGCGATTTAGGGACCGGAAACAGACACCATAGAGTCCCCGCCGAGGAACCACGGGAACCGGATGTGAGGACGATGAATGATACGAAGGAAAAAAAAAAAAAAAGCGTTTCCGAGCAGAGCGATTGCTAGAGAGGGTGAGGGAAATTGAAGGCCATGGCTGGACAGAAGGGAATGAATGGAGAGTGGGAGGGGAGAAAACCGGACCGGATATTACAAAATCATAGACGATGAGGAGGAAAGGGCGTACCGTTGGTTGCCGAGCAACTAAAGGGAAGGCCTGAGGGTATTTTATTTCCATTTACTGAAGGGGCATATTTCTCTTTGCAGTACTGCATTTCTGCGCAAGTCCACGGTACTGAATATCTACGGAGATTCTCAGTCATCCAAGTCGTGGTGGTCTCAAAGGTGCTTTTTTCAAAATAGTACTGAATACAGAGCCACTTTCATCAGTTCAAGAAAGGCGAATAGGAGGCAGTGGTGTAGTCAGTCTAGTATCAAAATGGTAATTTGTCAGATTGCTTAACAGACATTACAGACCATTACATTACGTTACATTATATGAAGTATTTAAGGGAGCGGTAGGCTAAAAAGAGAAGGGTTAAAAATGAAGGATTCCCTATATTAGGGAAATGGCAGTTAAAAGGCATGAAAATTATATAGTCACATTTAGTTCAAAGGGAGATTACTATAAAAGAGCTAAGGAACAACAGTGTGCACGTGCACACTTTTCCAAGTTTACAGCTTCTAAAACTAAACTGGCAGATCATATTTTAAGCTACACTGTACCTTAGCCTTTCCAAGTCACTAAAAAAAAATCCGAGGGCAGGAGCCAGTATATTGAAAGCTCATGAGGATGTTCCAAGAGCACAGAGAGATGCTTTGTAATTTTTTTACTTATTTCTATTTCTCTGTGTTAGTTTACCATGGCAGTGCATGCTAAAACTCTGCCAGTAACTAATAATTAACTATTAATAATTAACTATTTCAAAGCAATAAATTTGAAAGAACATATTCTCTGCTCAAAATAATTTGGAATTGAAAATCGAATAGCCAATATATACCTTTACACAACTTTATGTGCACTTATATAAGAACAGTATGTACAATTGTATCCACTATACGTCAAAAAGGATATTGTAGAGTTAGGGTAACAAAATGTGGTTAAGATAGACTATGTGGTTGCTAGGAGTTGACAGCAATTTGATGGCAAATACCTGTAATCAAAAACGGAGTGACTCAAGTTCAGGTCTACAGACAACTTCGGAAACTGAGTGGGTGACTTTAAGCCATACATTCTCTCTCAGACCCATCTTTCCTTGCAAGGATGTTGGAAAAACTGGAGGAAAGAATGTTATGCACACTGCCCTGAGCTGAGTGAAAGGCATAATAAAGGTTTAATGAATAAGTAAAAAACCTGCATTGAAGAAAAAGATACATTTGAGCATTTTTAATTTATAAAGAAAATGACTGGGAATAGACAGATGCAAAACACCATACATAAAAAATTAAGTTTGATATGGGGAATAGGCTAGTTAGTGAGCAATCAAGGGCTGATTAAAGGGATTTCCCATAGCAACACAGCTGTGTAACAAGTTGTAGCAATTGAACCAGTATTGATGGTTTAAAATAGGGATTACACAAATTCATGATATTGTTATTGCCTATTAACCAAAATGACAATCACCAGTTGGGGATAGTGCATATCTCAGTAGCAGCAACTGGAGAATTAGAAGCTTAATTAGGAAAGTTCTGATTTGCTAACCACTTGCTTAGATCACACCTCAGATAAACACATACAACAAGGTTTGTGTAGTTTTCAGCCAATTCCAGTACTCTGACTATATCCAGGCTATGTACGAACCAGCTGTTAATTCGTGCATGCGTTTTCTGCTCCATTACCAATGTTCAAAATGATCAAGGGCTGTTTATTCCTGATTCAGAAACTACACAATCAGAGGGAGCTTTTCTAACCACGTATGTGATTAGCGGCATTTCAATGATCAATCTGAAAAGAGCTAAGCAGCAGCCGAGTTCTCCTTTTGCTTCACGCAGCGATAAGAAAGACGGCGTTCACGCACTGGCTCCGCAGACAGCTGGAAATACAGAACAGCTCTACACTGGCTGGTTCTGGGTCACGCAAGCACTGTGCGCTCAAAATCAACTTGCGCAGGAATATCTTGTTCCATTTTCTGCAGCCACAAAAGCCCCGCCTTGTCGCCTTGTCCCAGTGAAGCTCGGCGGACGGCTGGAGTGAATGAGAACAACCGCGGGGGCCGCCTTGCAGCACTCCGTCCAATCCACAGGCGTCTTAGCGCGCAGGTCGGGTTCTTATTGGCTCGACTAAATCCTGCCTCTGCCGTCCCTGGAGTGCCTCCGTCGCAGCGCGGCTTGTTGCCTATTTAGTTGGCTTCAGGTTCTTGAGCTGTGGTGGAGGTCGGCCTGCGCCCGGTGAGTTCTACTTTTTGGGCTGCCGGGTTGTTGTGGCTGGGGACCGCGGTCTCCCGTCGCCGGGGTGACAGCCGTGTACGCCGAGGCCTTGTCACGCTGGGTTGGTGGAGCATGAGGGGCCAGCTCCCCCGTTTGCCCCTCGCGGGGGACGGGCCTGCGTAACTCTGGCGGAAGCGCGTCGTCCTGGTGCTGCGTCACGAACGGCCTCCGCCCCGCCTGTCCTCCTATTGAAAGAAGTCTCTCCTCTTTCAACGTGTAGGTCGCCTCCTCCGTTGCGGCGATGTCTGAGGGCGAAACCAAGCAACTATCCGGCAATATCGGTGCCGACCAGAAACCCGAGGCTGCGTCTGCGGGATCCGGCATGACCTCACTTTCGCCGCCGTTAGCGGCGGCAACTCAAGAGGAGGAGGAAGAGGAGGAAGAAGAAGACGAGTCCGAGGACGAGTCCGAAATCTTGGAGGAATCACCTTGCGGGCGTTGGCAGAAGAGGCGGGAAGAGGTAGGCGACGAAGCCCGTGCGTTCCCACGATCTCTGTGTGACTCGAAGCTGGCGCCTTTCGGAGGCCTGCACAAAAGAGAGTAATCCTGAGGAGGCTAGAAAAAGTTCCTTTCCGAGAGCTCTTAAGTGTGTTGAGTGTCTCCTTCTAGTATTCATGCTGCAGAGATTTGTAGATAAACAGCTGTCAAAGGCGCAAGAGGGTCAATTGGATTAGATAGCGTGGAAGTTGAGATTTGACTAGTCATAATAAGCAGTTTTTAGGACTTAAAACAGTTGCCCCTTTCTCCATAGATCTGGAAGAATCAAGACATAAGAAGTAGTAGTTATTTTAATACAGTGGTAGGTTTGGGGTGAAGTGCCTCTGTTTATAATCAAGGTATTCCAGACAGCATTTCAATCTGACATTTTTTCTTGTTTAGAAATCTGAGGCTTTGCCTTTATGTAAACAGTTGTATGTCTAGCTTGCTGTGAATTGTCTGTTTTGTTTGCTAGGATTTCTTTTTCCAATCTTACAATAGATAATGGGACTTAAATTAAGGAATTTGACTGGAAATTATGTACTTTACAGCTGTTTTAAACAACTCTTTTTGCTGAAAGAGAGAGGGGAAACAGTTTTTTAAAGACATCCTGAGAAATTTATTGAGGTTTTATTACTTATTTTGCTATTTGTGTTTCCTTGCTCTCCCCAGATGATTTTCAGAGTGACCACCAATATAAAATAAACAAAATTTCAAAATCAAAGTTATAAAAGCTGATTTTAATGCCAGGATTGTAGACGAGACTGGGGAGTCTTGACTGAAACTTGTTTGGGGTGTGTTTTGAGGAAGTGACCTCTTCCTTGATATTTTAAATATAGGATAATGTCTCTTGCTATTAAGGGAGTTATTTGTAAGTTAGAAGATATTTTGGAAAATTTTACGTGATTGAATTTGGCAGATTAACAGGATCATAGCTTTATGTTGAAGATTTTAGAACTGACAACCTTTGGAATAGAGGCTGTTTTCCTTTTTGTGAAGACACTAATGTGTTGTTCTGGATGTTTTGAAGTCAAGATTGTTGGAATAATGGCTTATTTGGCTGGGGAAAAAACTAGCCATCATTGCTGATTTTGAGAAATCAACTTAGCTGGGCTAAGTGTTATCCTGTTCTGTGTATTGAAAGTCTTGATTTACACAACACTTTCTTACACAAAATCCTGATGGTTTATTTTCAATAAGCTGTCATGAAGTTTGATTGCTACTAAACTGTATTTCAAAAAATTTGCTATGAGGGACTCTTGGCTAATTCTGAATTCTCTTATTCTGCTTTTTAATTCATCCTTTAAATATGCAAGTACATAAAACTTTAGATACACAAGATAGTTTTCCTTTGCTGAATACAGAAAGACCAGACTCATGCCCTTCTCCTATGAATATCACTGTTACTAAAATAAAGAAAAACACAAGTCTGTGCTATGGAGTTCTCTGTCAAAAAATGTACTGATGGTGACTACTGATGAATTAAGCCTGGGCTGGATGGCCTTTTGTTGATTAGGGATTTAACATTTGGAAGAAGCTGAGGACTTGAGAGTAGGTAGCAGCACAATATAACTAGTTTTGGAAGGAATTTTCCTTTTTATAAATATTTGTACAGTAGAGTATTTTTCATTTTGAAACAGAAAATTATGCCTTGAATTTGCAGTAGTCACCACAGAGGAACCTGAAGGGCCAGAAAAAGAAGGCTTTTTCTGTAGAACTCTTGCCTCTGGTTTAGGCTGTTAATAGCTACTAACCATTATGGATGGTTAGTCTATTATGAAGCAGTATGTTTGACAATATCAGTTGTTGAGAACAGGACAGCTTTTATATTTTCCTACTTGCAAACTATACGTAGACATTGATTTACTGTAGCAGCTTTATTAAGATTTTCAATTTCTTTTCATCTTAAAAAGTTAAGGCTAATAAGTTTTTTAATAACATTGCAGGTGGGGGGGGGAAATCAAGTTAGCTTCCTTTACAGATTCTCTTTGTAGCCTTTGTTTAACACACTTTATCTCCTCCCCTCTTGTGGTCAATAACTGAATGTAGTGTTTTGTCCGGTCTTGAGCTTTGGTTGCGTTGTCTTTTGCTTTGCTTTCTTCCTCCTTTCTTAAAATAGATTTGCTGAAGCCTGCTAACCATGCCACCAGCACTTTAGCTGGATGATTTTTATTGCTGGTTTTCTCTACACATTTTTGACTCAGCACTTTAACATCCTCTGCTGTTTGCCGCTGTTCTCTAGGTCATGCCATTGTTTGATGTTCTCACTTTTTCCCATCCCCCTGTCTTTCAGGAGCAGTGTATACTTTTAAATATGTCTGAGATCATAATGAGGTTGACTCTCGGCTTGGTAGTGATGAGTGAGTCATTGGTTTGGCCCACAAGATGATTTGGCTATACATCAAGAAAAGGGAGGGGCAACAAAGAGACATATGATTCCCCAACATGGGTGGTTGTGTAATTTTTGGTATACTGGTTTACCTAAGACTTCAGGAATCACTGGGCTAGAATAGTTATGCTGGGGAATGTTGTTTTTTTAAAAAATGATCTTTTCTTTAGTTCTAGAAGCTGTAGGGAACGTGTTGGTGATATAATTGGAGGGATCAGAGCAATTTTTTCATCTCTTGTGCTCCTGCCCCTTCATGCAACACATGGATTCTTACTTGAAATTTAATATATATACATTAATACTCTTTTAAAAATGAGTATCATTTTGCTGTACTGTAATTTTGGTTTTATCCACTGAATTTTGGCAGCTTCAACTTGTGGGGTTAAGACTGCAGGCTGCCTTCTCTTGGATTTGACAGTTATAAAGAAAGCAGGAATTTGAAGAAACAACTGGTACTGGACGCTTGAATTTAGAAGAGTTGAGAATTAAAAGCCTTAAGAATAGGTGCTGCATTGAGCTGTAGAATTAAAGTCAGGGGAATGCTAAAAATAAAGAGTGGCTCAGAAACACAATAATGCTAAGATGTCTGTCATAGGCACAGTTCTCCTGCAGCTCTGTAATGGCAGAATTTACTTTCATTTCATATTCAGAAAATCACAAGCATGGATGGGATAAGAGACTCCCAGAGTTGGTAAGAAATGTAGAGGTCTTTATATTGAAGTGAAATGCAGGCGATTTAGGATCAAAACTAGAAATATTGTAAGGTTCAACTATCGATTACTGAATAAATTACAGTTGGCTGGGTGTGTACAATATATACAGTGTGGTTTAATCAAAATGCTCTAGTTCACAGAGCATCTTAAGTTATAATCTCTTTATCTTAAGGTGTTATATGAGCCTAATAATTGAATTCAAATATGGAAATAGCTACCAGTTTACAGATTCAAAGGGGGAATTGGACAAATTCATGACTGATCAAGGCATGATGGGCAGTGGAAGTCAATAATTTATGGATCTGTCCGCGATGACACATGGAAGATTGTGATGTGGAATGTAAGAGAAGTTGGTAAAGAATATGAAAAAAAACTTTGATACTTTAAAAAAGAGAGCATGTAGTTCAGTCACCTTTCTAATACAGGAATCCCTGACAGATAATCTGACAGATATAGCACGTGTCTAGTGAAGGTGAATCTGAAGGCAGTCTGTTGAATTACTGAACAGCTCTTCATTTTAGGACATTTTCTTGATCTTCGGTTAAAATGTGTTTTCTTGTAATTTAAACCCATTTTTAAAAATCCCATCTAAAACTGTGTTCAGCCTGATGCAGATAGCAAACTAGAAATCTACAGGTAGACCTTGCTTAACAATTGCCTTATCTAGTAATTCTTTGAAGTTATGAGAGTGCTAAAAAGTAATTTTATGACCAGCCCTTGCATTTATAACCATCATAGCATCCCTGGGGTCACATGATTGACATTTGGGAGCTTCACAACCAGTTTCCGACAAAAGTCGCAGCAGTAAA